CACTAACACACACACTCACACACACTCACACACTAACACACACACACTCACACTAACACACACACTCACACACATTCACACACGCACACACTCACACACTCACACACGCACTCACACACGCACTCACACACACACTCACACGCACACGCACACACACACACACACTCACACCCCTCTGGACAGAGGCAGCAAGGGGCCCCGGCAGCGCGCCGCCCGGACTCACCTGAGCTGCCTGATGCGCACGCCTCGGTACTCCGGGACGCCCCGGTACACCTGCGCCATCTGCGGGCGAGGGGGCGTGGGACACGCGTGGGTGGCCCCGCGGGAACCGGCGCTCTGCACCCGGCCCTCCCGCCCGTGACTGCGGCCCTCCACCCCCCCACCGGGGCCTGGGAGGCCGAGAACCCTCGGGGCCCGGCCCCCCCCCCCCCCTGACCCCCCCCCCGCCCCGCTCACCTGCCGGCTGAAGGTCTCGTTGAACCTCTTGAAGGCCCCGGTGGAGGTGCTCGTCAGCTCCTCGCTGAAGTTGAGGCTCGTCACGGTCACGCTCACGTCCACCGCGGCGGAGACGGTCTGCGCTGCGGGACAGACACGGAGCCTCACCGGCGCCCCAGCCCCACCCGGCACCCGCGGCGCGTGGCGGACGACCCCGCCCGGCACAGCCCACGCTCCCGGGCACACCCGCACCTCGCAGACCAAAGGCTCGCCCAGCTGGCACGGGCGGCACACGCACGTGGGCCGAGGGCAGGGCCCGGGGCGGGCGGCCCCCGCGCTCACCGATCTCGATGGCGTCCACCACGTCCTCACACCTTGGCCCGTAGAAGAGGCTCGGGCACTGACACTTGAGCCCGTCCCAGCTGCCGCCGTTCTGGCACCGCACGACGGGCACGCGCTCCTCACACAGGGGCCCCGTGAAGCCGTTGGGGCACTGGCAGGATTGCCCGGTCCAGACCCCCCCGTTCAGGCAGGTCACTGCAGGAGAGGGGCCGAAGCTAGCAGCTGTGCGCGGCGGCAGCTCAGCCCACACCGGCCTCCACGCTCCCTTCCCGTCCTCACCTCCCGCTGCCCCGTCCACACTGTGTAGCTCGGGGAGATTCAAATTCACAGTCCCCCACGTGTCCTCCATCATCATCAGCATCATCATCATCATCATCATCATCAACATCATCATCAGCATCATCATCATCATCATCATCATCACCATCATCATCATCATCATCATCCTCCTCCACCATCATCATCATCATCACCATCAACATCATCACCATCATCATCATCACCATCATCATCATCATCCATCATCATC